CCAGTTTTTCTGGTTTCACTAGTCAATGACGATCTCCAGGAGTTAGGTTCATTGCCCATGATTTTGTTCCACGATTTTCGGTCAAAATTTTCGGATTTTCGGTTTACCTCTCTGAAGAACCAGCACCTTACCGTGGTAGAGAGGTTTGTGTGCCCTGATGAACCTGGGGGCTGTGTTGTCTGGAACCTTGTGTTCCTGGTAGGGTCTCCCATGGCAAATTGGTCTCAGGCAAGGGGCCAGACTAAGATTGGTTCAAAAGACCTCATGAAAGAACAACAAAGAAGTGAGGATACCCGGCACGGAGGAAGCCCGGGGTCCCCTTCTGGAGCCAGGCCCAGAAGGAGGACTCGTCGGCGAGCGTCTGGTGGCCGGGCTTGCCACGGAGCCCGGCCGGGCCAAGCCCGAAAAGGCAACGTGGGCAACACCTCCGCTTCTCCGTCCCACGGGCCCACCACTTACGGGAAACATCGATGGGGTCGGGTGCGCTGCCAGAAGGGTGGCAGTGAAAGCGGAGGGTCTCGACGGACCAGACCCGGGCGACAGAAGCTGGCTTTGGGGACGTGGAACGTCACCTCTCTGGGGGGGAAGGAGCCGGAGCTTGTGCGGGAGGTGGAGCGTTACCAGTTGGATCTGGTTGGGCTCACCTCTACGCACAGCGTCGGCTCTGGAACCTTACTTCTGGATAGGGGTTGGACTCTATTCTTCTCCGGAGTTGCTCAAGGTGTGAGGCGCCGGGCGGGTGTGGGGATACTCACAAGTCCCCGGTTAGGTGCTTCGTTGTTGGAGTTTACCCCAGTGGACGAGAGGGTCGCCTCCCTACGCCTGCGGGTTATGGGGGGGAAAACTCTGACTGTTGTGTGTGCTTATGCACCCAACAGCAGTTCAGAGTATACGGCCTTCTTGGAGACCCTGGAAAGAGTCCTGTATGGGGCTCCTGAAGGGGACTCTTTAATCTTGCTGGGAGACTTCAACGCACATGTGGGCAATGATGGAGACACTTGGAGGGGCGTGATTGGGAGGAACGGCCCCCCTGATCTGAACCGGAGTGGTGGTTTGTTACTGGACTTCTGTGCTAGTCATGGATTGGCCATAACAAACACCATGTTCGAACATAAGGATGCTCATAAGTGTACGTGGTACCAGAGCACCCTAGGCAGAAGGTCCATGATCGATTTCGTTATCGTATCATCGGACCTGAGGCCGTATGTTTTGGACACTCGGGTAAAGAGAGGGGCGGAGTTGTCAACTGATCACCATCTGGTGGTGAGTTGGGTCGAGTGGCGGGGGAAGCCTCTGGATAGACCTGGTAAGCCCAAACGTGTAGTTCGGGTGAACTGGGAACGTCTGGAGGAGGCCCAAGTTCAGGAGGCCTTCAACTCACACCTCCGGCGGAGCTTTTCGGGCATTCCTGTGGAGGTTGGGGACATTGAACCAGAGTGGTCGGTGTTCAAAGCCTCTATTGCCGAAGCCGCGGCGGGGAGCTGTGGTCTCAAGGTCCTAGGTGCCTCAAAGGGCGGTAACCCTCGAACCTCCTGGTGGACACCGGTGGTCAGGGAAGCCGTCCGACTGAAGAAGGAGGCCTTCAGGGATTTGTTATCCCGGGGGACTCCCGAGGCAGTTGCAAGGTACCGACAGGCCCGAAGGGCAGCAGCCTCATCCGTGGCCGAGGCAAAGCAGCGGGTGTGGGAGAAGTTCGGAGAAGACATGGAGAAGGACTTTCGGGCGGCACCAAAGTTGTTCTGGAAAACTGTCCGACACCTCAGGAGGGGGAAGCAGGGAACCATCCAAGCTGTGTACAGTAAGGATGGGACGTTGTTGACCTCAACTGATGGAGTGTTAGGGCGTTGGAAGGAACACTTTGAGGAACTCCTGAACCCGACAACTCCGCCCTCTATGTTAGAGGCAGAGCTGGAGTATGACGGGGGATCAACACCAATCTCCCGGGGGGAGGTCACTGAGGTCGTCAAACAACTCCACAGTGGCAAAGCCCCGGGGGTGGATGAGATCCGCCCGGAAATGCTGAAGGCTCTGGGTGTTGAGGGACTGTCATGGTTGACACGTCTCATCAACGTTGCGTGGAAGTCGGAAACAGTACCGAAGGAGTGGCAGACCGGGGTGGTGGTCCCCCTTTTTAAAAAGGGGGATCAGAGCGTGTGTGCCAATTACAGAGGCATCACACTACTCAGCCTCCCCGGGAAAGTTTACTCTAAGGTACTCGAAAGGAGGGTCAGGCCGATTGTCGAACCTCAGATTGAGGAGGAACAATGCGGATTCCGTCCTGGTCGTGGAACGACGGATCAGCTTTTTACTCTCGCAAGGATCCTGGAGGGGGCCTGGGAATACGCTTATCCGGTCTACATGTGTTTTGTAGACTTGGAGAAGGCGTATGACTGAGTTCCCAGGGAGTTACTGTGGGAGGTGCTGCGGGAGTATGGGGTGAGGGGGTCTCTACTCAGGGCCATCCAATCTCTGTACTCCCAAAGCGAGAGCTGTGTCCGGGTCCTCGGCAGTAAGTCGGACCCATTTCCGGTGAGGGTTGGCCTCCGCCAGGGCTGCGCTTTGTCACCAATCCTGTTTGTAATATACATGGATCGGATTTCAAGGCGTAGTCATGGGGGAGGGGGTCTGCAGTTCGGTGGACTAAGGATTGCACCACTGCTTTTTGCAGATGATGTGGTTCTAATGGCTTCATCGGTCTGCGACCTTCAGCACTCACTGAATCGGTTCGCAACCGAGTGTGAAGCGGCTGGGATGAGGATCAGCACCTCCAAATCTGAGGCCATGGTTCTCAGCAGGAAACCGATGGACTGTCCACTTCAAGTAGGGAATGAGTCCTTACCCCAAGTGAAGGAGTTCAAGTATCTCGGGGTCTTGTTCTCGAGTGAGGGAACAATGGAGCGTGAGATGGGCCGGAGAATCGGAGCAGCGGGAGCGGTACTGCAGTCGCTTTACCGCACCGTTGTGACGAAAAGGGAGCTGAGCCAGAAGGCAAAGCTCTCTGTCTACCGGGCCATTTTCGTTCCTACCCTCACCTATGGTCATGAAGGATGGGTCATGACCGAAAGAACGAGATCGCGGATACAAGCGGCCGAGATGGGTTTTTCTCCGCAGGGTGGCTGGTGTCTCCCTTAGGGATAAGGTGAGAAGTTCGGTCATCAGGGAGGGACTCGGAGTTGAGCCGCTCCTCCTTCGCGTCGAAAGGAGCCAGTTGAGGTGGTTCGGGCACCTAGTTAGGATGCCACCTGGGCGCCTCCCTAGGGAGGTGTTCCAGGCACGTCCAGCTGGGAAGAGACCAAGGGGTAGACCTAGGACCAGGTGGAGGGATTATATCTCTTCGCTGGCCTGGGAGCGCCTTGGGATCCCCCAGTCAGAGCTGGTTGATGTCGCCAGGGAAAAGAAAGGTTGGGGCTCTCTGCTGGAACTGCTACCCCCGCGACCCGACCACGGATAAGCGGGAGAAGATGGATGGATGGATGGATGGATTTTCGGTCATCTATGAGTCCGATCCATGCCCATGAATACAGAAAATGCGGTTGAAGCATGCTTATATCATCCATGCTTGCAAAGTCGCCAGGTCAGTGTATTTCTCTCTGCAGGAATCCTGCGCATCGGTCCAATTCATTTTCAAGTCAACATAGTAGTGCGTACGTGTTGGGAAGTGAGAGCAGGAGCTGAGGCTAATTCCTGAAAGGTAATGTGAGGAAAATATTTTAATAAATTAAAAACTTAACTTTAAAAAAATTGAAATAATATTATTAGGATTTCATTAAAATACCAAAGCATTAATTCAAACAGGTCATGCGTCTTGTCTGAAGTCTGACAACTGTTTATCTGTTTTAATAAACTTTATCACAATTTTGAGGCAGAGTTTTCATTTTTATTTTACTTCACTATCTTTGAGAGGGAAATATGGCACCTTTCCCCATTTTATTTACTTGACACTTTGAGTGACTATAGTTCCTCTTTTATATACTTTACAAATGGTGATATGATCCAGGACTTTCTGAAAACATACAGTGGATAAAAAAGAAATCTCGATCCTTATCTTTTATAAGTGCATACATCTCTATCCAATACTGTGGTGCTGTGTGAATCAACTCAAATGTAAAACACATCCTTGAAATGAGTCATACTCTTGACCTTGAAATCAATTTCAAATGTATACTGCAAACAAGAAAGAAAATAATAAATAAAAAAGTAAATAATAGAGAACCTCTACATGACCACAATGGGGCGCCACTTTTTTTGTGTAATGAGGACCTGCTTACCATTGTTAGAAAGTAATTTAAGTTATGTTAAATCATTTCATGTAAAAAAACATTAACTGTTGTAAAAAAAGCAGAGTTATCAGCCTGTCTCTTTTTTTACCTGCAAATACTTTGAACAATGATTGTCTAAATAAAACAAGCAATTTCAAAGTTGTATGCTCGCTGTTAAAAATCATCTTAAGTAGATTTTTTTATAAAAAAACTTGCAAATGGAAATGAAAAAGTATAGTAAAGTTTAAAATCCAGCTGCCGAATAAGCTTGATATCGAAGCTCTTTGCAGTTAACCTTCAAAGATACAGAGGACGAAATAATTTGCTTTAACACACCCAACAATATGTTCATTATGCAAAACATTTGTGTGAGTGTGTGTGTGTGTGTACGTGCGTGTTTTTGTGTGGTGTGTGTGTGTCTCAGCTTTTGAATTTTGTGTGACGCACTTTAGATATGATGATCCAAACAGATTTATTGTGCCCTTCTTCCAAATATTACAATAACAATTCATTGATGTCACTTATTAGGTAATTAAATGAATATTTAAATTATACAATAAGCAGCTGTTGTTCATGATTATTGAACTTCTTAATAAAAGAACAAGGACCAAGGACAATCATTCATCACGAAAACAGTTACTAGTTTAACATTTTAATAGTACATTTTTAACAAGCATAGATTCTACATGTTCTAATTGGAGGAGCTTAGATGCAAATAAAACATTGTATTCATTTATATTGAAGTACACAATTAAAACAGGGATAAATACAATACATAAATATACCTTTAAGTATTACTCATAGGACCCTCTGGGTGTTTGCTAAACTTGTCATTTTGTTGTATTAAACATAAAACATTAGCAATTCTTTTTTTTTTTGTTCGCCCATGGATGCAAATGCACTGAATTACTGTTTTATTCAATGGAGCCTAGACATTGCTTCATCAGAAAGGGCTGACAGCAGGCAAGCTGAAGTGGTGATGGGCACTTATATTGATTTATGAAGGTGGTTAAATATACTGGTGGCAGAGGCTAAACAATCGAAATGCCACCAACTAGCAAGTTGGGGTTGAGTAACTTTTCCAAAGACCCTTCGGCATTTTATATCAGACCAAGGATTGAACCACCAACCTTTGGTGCAAGTTACCAAAAAAATCATTAAGTATTATGTGAGAAAATAAATGGATATGAAGAATATTTCTGAGCTTATACAGTATTTATAAGTCACTATATAAATCATAATAATCTCTAAGTCACACATGAAGTGAAAAACACAACAGTTTAATGTAAATTAATTTAAAACTGAAACATGTACAAGTGAGACTGAGCTTTTCTGAGTTCAGTCATAATTACAAAAGGGGAAACACAACAACATATTCCATAGTAACTTAATGAAATACAGATAGTAATCCTTATATTTGGTATGCTGTGTAAACTCCATGTTGTGGTGCATTTTTCTGGGAGTTACTCTCACAGCATCAACTAGAATCTAAACAGAAAGGAAAAAGCACGTTTAGTATTAGAGAAATTCCAGTGTGCATGTGTGTGCGTGTGTGTGTGTGTGTACCTTTTAATCCTGTCATTGCTCTGTCATGTGCGCTTCACTGGCAGTTTCTTCCAGGTCAGTTTGAAGTCTGTCACTCCCTTTTTAGCAAGTGCTGCCTGCAACTGAAGGAGACGGGTGATCATTTTCCTCCCGCAGTCCTGTTTCCATCACTTTAGAGATATAACATTGATTAAAATATTGTTGTTCCCAGAAAAGAATGCATGTCCCCACAGAGTGAGTGTGTAAACTCCCTAGAATAGGGAGGTGTGTGGTGCAGCGGGTTGTGCGTTGGTGTTCAGTCAGGGGTGCACAGGTTCAAACCCCGCTGCAGTCAGCATGTGGTTGTGTCCCTAGGCGAGACACTTTACCCCAAATTGCTCCTGTGGGGATTGCCCACAGTACTGAGTATGTAAGTCGCTTTGGATAAAAGCGTCTAACAAGTGACATGTAATGTAATTATGTCCCCACAATATCAGTGATACAGACATACAAACACACATATTCACACACAATCCTGTTTCCATCCCTTTAAAACAATGTTAAGCCCTGAGCCTGTGTTTCAGGCCTCAGGCTCGAAAATGACATGCCCAGAACAAATGACTATACAGTTGCAAGAAAAAGTATGTGAACCCTTTGGATTCTCCACACATAGCGTTGTGTGTTCCTTCCAAACAACTCAATTTTGGTTTAATCTGTCCACAGAATATGTTGCCAGTAGTGCCGTGGAACATCCAGGTGCTCTTTTGCAAACTACAAACGTGCAGCAATGTTTTTTCTGGACAGCAGTGGCTTCCTCCGTGGTGTCCTCCCATGAACTCCATTCTTGTTCAGTGTTTTACGTATCGTAGATTCGTCAACAGAGATGTTAGCATGTGCCAGAGATTTCTTTAAGTCTCTAGCTGACACTCTAGGATTCTTCTTCACCTCATTGAGCATTCTGCGCTGTGCTCTTGCAGTCATCTTTACAGGACGGCCACTCCTAGGGAGAGTAGCAACAGTGCTGAACTTTCTCCATTTATATACAACTTGTCTTACCACGGTAAGTGGACTGATGACCATCAAGGCTTTTAGAGATACTTTTGTAACCCTTTCCAGCTTTATGCAAGTCAACAATTCTTAATCGTAGGTCTTCTGAGAGCTCTTTTGTGCGAGGCATGGTTCACATCTGGCAATGCTTCTTAAGAATAGCTAATTACCAATTATTAGCTTTAACCAACACCTCCAATCTCGTCTCATTGATTGGACTCCAGGTTGGCTGACTCCTGACTCCAATTAGCTCTTGAATAAGTCTTTAGCCTAGGGCAGGGGTGGCCAACCCGCGGCTCTCGAGCCGCATGCGGCTCTTTGCCTAGTTTCATGCGGCTCTTCAGTTCATATCGAATTGTATATGTGTGAGTTTGGGGGAGAGACACTGACTCCTGACTAGTGTTGCACGGTATACCGATACTTGAAAGGTACCGCGATTCCCTGCCGTTAAAAACGTTACTATTCCTCCGTTTCATTAGTATCGGTACTTTAAGAATGACGGGGGAAAGTACTCCGGTGAGAAAGCGCCGTTTAATAAGAGCCGTGTGTGATCAGCGCTATGCTTCCATTCCCTGCACTGCAGCCGTGCCTGCAGTCCCGCCCCTCTCTAGCACGCTCAAGTGCCTCCCCTCTCTCATGCACGCGCTAGCTGCCAGAGCATGTGAGAAAACGAGAAGCATGGCTGCAAGTGGGAGTGCAACTGCCGCTGCGCCTCGGCTTGTTGACAAAAAAGACGCCAGAAGCGAAATTTGGAAGTATTTTAGCTATATCTCTGACAGTGAGGACAAGCCTACAGACACCACGAGGCCCGTCTGTAAGAAATGTATTAATTTTATTTAATACGAATTATTGTCATTTATTTTATTTATTGTTCTCATTGTTTAAAAGTTTGTGTTATGGTTATGGTTCTGGTGTGAAATAAAGCACGATAATTACATTTAAGACGGTTTCCCTTTTTTTAAGAAAAGTATCGAAAAAGAATCGGAATCGCAATTCTTGACTTGGTATCGAAAACAAAATGTTGGTATCGTGACAACACTAGCTAGCTACTCCTGACAGTTAAACCTGATATTTAGTAGGTCTGTTAAGTATTGAATGCTGATAATTCTGACGTAATTTGGCCGGTCAAAGTTGTTTGGGCTCGGATAAAATCGCTCCGTTACTTTCGTCCCGTGTTACTTTCGTCCCGGCTCTCCCTACGTGTGTATGTGTGGTGTCAGGAGTCAGTATGAGAGGATGACAGCGTGTCTAATTTTGATGTGGCCCAAGAGCCAATCACAATAATACCTGTGATGCTGTGAACCAATCACCTTTGAGGGGGGAAACCTATCGTTGATTAAACACTATCCAGTGTTTCCCCTACCATTGTCTTGGAGGGGCGCTGCCCCCCGCCAACGGAGCCCCGCGCCCCCCCTGGAATTCAAGGTGTTTCAAAATTATATATAATTATTATTATTTTTTAATATATACATAGCACCAAATTGCAAATAATCTATAACTACTGTCACTTTTCACATTGAACATGTGCTCTTTTATTAAATAAACTAAACGCTTTCATTTTAAGTTGTGAGTTTAGTGTTTTTGACCCTAAGAAACACTGATGCATTAATCAATACCAATAATCCACAGCTCCTCTCTCTGCTCCAGAGGATTTAAAAAAAATATATCCCAATGCCACAAAAATGCATCAGTGACGTGGTTGAAATCTTGTCTCCAGAAAACAAAAAACTGAAACAAGCGGTATCAGTGACTGTGTGTTTGATGTGGCTCTTTGCAGTAAAATAGAAAAAAATTGGCTCTTAACCTCTGACTGGTTGGCCACCCCTGGCCTAGGGGTTCACATACTTGGTCCACCCTGCACTGTGAAAGTTTACATGGTGTGTTCAATAAAAACATATAATTGTTTGTGTGGTATTAGTTTAAGCAGACTGTGTTTGTCTATTGTTGTGACTTAGATGAAGATCAGAACACATTTTATGACCAACTTATGCAGAAATCCAGGTAATTCCAAAGGGTTCACATACTTTTTCTTGCAACTGTATCTTCACTTCTAAAAGGGTTAAATTAATAATCTTTTTTCTCAAATAAATTATAAACCTATGAGTTGGATGTAGAAGAGTCAGAATCAATATAGAATTTTAATATTTTAAAGTAAATACAGATTGAACTAAGTATTTATTCAACAAAAAGAACTTGAATCACAACAACAACAAAAGTCACACACACCTGCCGCTGCAGTTCAGCACTGCAGGCTGGATCCTCCATGTTTGCGCTGGACTTGATACTCATTCTCACCACGGTTTTCCGTGCTTTGTGAACTGCACACGGTCACAAACAGCAGGCAGCGATTCATAAAAAGATTCAGGAGAGCTGTGTTAATTTTCATGCAATGTTCATTAGTTTTCAAAGGGAAATTAAATGAAAAGTTTACAACTTTTTTGTTATTCTTGCTTGAAAACGGTCTGTGACTAAAACTTGCTTTTTAAAAAGATGTGTACAGATTTGAGTGTGAAGATGCTTTTTTAATTCATTTTGATAGTCTTTTTCTCCAGCAGCACCTCAACATCTGAAAGACTTAATTGTTATTAAATTAAGTTTAATATAGTGTTGTGAATGCATTTAATCTAACAAATCAACTACATTTTTTACTTTTTAACATTCCTTGTAAAAAATGTATTCTTTTTGCATACAACATGGTAAATACAGCCAAAACAATCCACATGCATTTTAATCCCCAAGAAATGTTTCCAACTCCATTACCTGATTTTCTCCGCTTCACACAGGGCTTCCTGTTAACAACCTTGACTCAATAGTTTGGAGGACTCAAATGCACAACCCAGAGACAAAAAATGTTTGAAGAAAAATAATCTTTACTTGCAAAAACAAAATCACTCTTTTAGAGGAAATAACAAAAATGACAAAAGTAAAGCGCTCACATGGAGGGAAAAAGGCAAAACACTGAATCTCTTTAAGCAATGGCTTGGATCTGGCTTCTTGGGACAATGAACAAGACGAACCGACAACTAACAAGGGGAGACAGGACAATATATACATGAGGTAAGTGGGCACAGCTGGAAACAATCGATGGCGGGAAAAGGAACCAGAGCAGGAAGTAAAGGGACCTGGAATGAGACAAGGTGATTACAAAATAAAACAGGAAGTGGAACATAAACTAAACTAACATGAACATGACGATCACAAACATGACAACTTAACATAATTGACGGGACACTACACTTCCTGCAATGAGTGACATCTGCAAAAACAGCAGAAACCAGATAACTACTTCAGTTTATATCATACTGATAGTCAGGGGTAAAAGTAGAAGTTTACTCTGGTAAAAGTAGAAGTCCTGCCTAAACTTCATTACTCAAGTAAAAGTAAATCAGTAGGGCTTCGAAATGTACTTAAGTAAAAAGTACCCATAACTACCAACTTTTTTAAAGAGCAACTGACTCACTTTATATTAAAGGTCCCCTATATTTTCATCCATATATTATAGGTCTCAGATATATACAAAACATGTCTCTGAAGTGTTTGGCTCCAAATACCAAACAGATCATTGCAGCATCCCATAATCCCCTCTGTTTCAGCCCTGTTTCAAAAGTGCTGATTCTCTGTCTGTTACTTTAGATGAAAATAGGGAGCCCCTCCCCACGCCCCTCTGAGAGAGATTTGGTTAAAAAGAACACAATGTGCTCTAGGAGGAGATTCAGGTGATAAGGTGGGGGGGGGGGTGGTTACCATGGTTGGCGATTGGCTAATGTTTACACAAGCCAAAAATCGTTATGACATCACAAAGTGGCCAAAATCTGATCAGCTCATTTTCAGACAGGTTTTTATATAAATGGATCAGGACAAAAAGTGAGTGAATCTTTTTTCCTGAAACTTCCAGAATCTCTTTACACAGAAGGGACACATGTTTATGTATAAAAAATGTGAAAAAGTGGATTTTGCATAATAGGTGAACTTTAATAGAACAATAATGTCATTGTTAGCTAATTAATTTTTCGATGCTGAACAACCGCAAAATGACAACGTTTTCATTGGTCCCTCTTCTTTCGTGTTAAAATCAATAGGCACGCAATGACTCTAAATAATAATGATCAGGCTACCAAACACAGATTAAAACTAAAGTAACAAACCTGTTTTGAAAATGTAGCTAAGAAGTAGAAAGTACAGGTATTTGTGTTAAAAATGTAAGAAGTAAATAGTCGTCAGAAAAATAAGTAATGGAGTAAAGTACTGATACCAAAAAAATGCACTTAAGTACAGTAACAAAGTACTCCACTACTTCCCACCTCTGCCTCACCCCATCTGGGCTCTGGGTAGTCAGTCCCACTTGTCCCCCCACTACGACGCCCCTGCTGATACTAACTGAACTTTAAATATGATTAATACACCTTCCATGCTTTGCGTAATGAGACAATTCTGCACCGCTTCTATCTGCTTGAAAACAGGGGAAATATTTGAGTCATACCTCCATAGCAGAAGAAAGGGTACGTTGCGTTGCAGGGCTCATCCGTCCAGGTTCCATCTTTCAACACTACGGCTGCACAACTGTCTTCTCCGTTTGAGTTGTCAGGTTGCCCCTCTTGCCAGTTTGTGAAGTTGTTTTCTCCAGCTTCTGACCAATGCCAGAGTTTAGGTCTGCTGAGGCCAATCCATATTTCTGTTTGGTTCCCCTTTGACTGTACGTCAGAATTCACCTTTGAATCAGGGATTGTGGCCAGAAGCCAACCACTTTCTGTACAACTGGTTTTGGCGTCATTCCAAGTCATCTCTCCTTCACCTTCATGTAACTTCTCTAAATCTACATATAAAAATAAATAAGTATTATATTATAGTAGCAAAACTAAACTAAAAAAGTATGTGAGCATCCAAAGCAAAGTATACAATGTGTATAGATTTGATGAAAATTGTCCAAAATAATTCAAGTACAAAAGTTTGGTGTACAATTTGGCCATACATGTAACTTTGACTCCACATCATGATAATGCATAAAAATGCAAGCTAAACAATGAAAAAGTATGGAACAAGGACCTCCAAAATGTGTAGATTGTGGAAAATAAGCGCTGGAAACATCATGTTGTTGCAGTTGTAAAATGTAAGATATTCTGCTAAGTAAGACGAGATGTCAGATCATTCTAGTTGAGTTGAACCAGAAAGGAGAGCACTGAAATATCAAAACGATGCTAATTACCATCTTGACAAACAAAGGGTTTCTTAAGTGAGCAGTTGGCAAAGCCCCAGCGTCCATCATTGTCGATGGTCACACAGTACTCGTCAGTGTCAATGTTATCTGGTTGAACATTTCCCCATTCAAAATATGTGGCTGTTTCTCCATCCACCCAGGTCCAATCTGAAGCGTTCTCAAACAGTCCGATCCAGGCCTTGTCTGTGTACCCCGCAGTCTGAATGTTCATCATTGAGGTGTTGTTTTCCAAGCTTTGTATTTGGGCCAGTTCATTTTGCTCCATGAGGCAGTACTGATATGCTTCATCCCAGGTCATGTTCTTATTGATGAAGAGGTAGCCGTTTCGAAAAGGGGTGCAGGGGGTGCAGAAGCCTGAGGAGCAAGGTAGATTTGTGGAAACGTGATATTTGGAAAGTCAAACAGAAATTAAAACGTTGTTTTACTCAAAAATAATTGGACAAAATGTGATGTTTTTTGAAAAATATGATGTTCAAACATATACAGACCAAATACCAAAAACATCTCACAGCTGACAAATAGGATTATTTGATGGTTTGTTCCCATAATCTCATAATCTATCATTCTTCACATGATCTCACCTGAGAGCAGGAGAATCACCACCAGAGTCTCGTCCATGCTGACTTTAACTCTATTTACAATAAAGATCCAGCATGTTCAATTAGTACTCATATACTTAAGTACTAAAAGTACAAGCATCAATATATAATTTAAGAACAAACCATAAGAGTCATGCAGAATGGCCCATTTCCGATTGATATAAGATTAAATATTGATTCATTAATGAGTATCTATATATTGCCAGATGGCTTGTGGGTGACAACTACACACTCCTTTGACAAATTAAAATTGTAATATTAATGTTCTTCTCAGAAAAAACACCTAGAAAATAAGAAATTCTGAAGTTGATAAAAATAAAATACAATTAAGACAAGATACATACAATTAAAATGTTTATGCTGTCTCTCCTCACTAATCTTTCCTGTTTCATGTCACAAGCAACATAAAGAAATTGAAGATAGTTACAGAAACAATCACACTTAATGAAGCTATAGATATTTAGCTTAGATATCCACTTACACTTACCAAATATAGATTTCTTCAGTTGCTTGTTTGGTGTTTTACTACTACAACTGTGTGTTTGAGGCAAATCCGTACAGCTCATCTCTAGCTGCTTGATGAACTTTAAAAGACACCGATTGGATGAGAAGAACTGTGACACAGCTTTGATGAAAAGTGTTTCCTCTATCAAAGTCTGAAGACACATTTCTGCTGTTTATAAACGTAAACATTTGAAGTGCAGCACACCATAAGTAGAGATAATTGATATATATATATATATATATATATATATATAGATAGATATATATACACAATAAAAGCTTTATCTGTATATGTGCATATATAAGAATTTTTTTTAATGATGTCTGTAGATCTCCAAAACCTTAATTTAAGGCAAAGGTTTTAGTTAATTACAGATAAAACGAAAGTCATGAGAACCAGACAACAGTAGTCATATATTTATAGAGGAGAGAGTTAAAGGCACTTGCTTTTCCTCAAAATGCACCAGCCTTTATTGATATGTTTTATACAACTTAATGTTGATAAAATCCCAGTTTTTGATCCTATTTTAGGAGCCTAAAACACTCAAACATCTCTTTATCCCCAAGGGTTTAAAAAGACAAAAAAGGATTATACTGAATATTAATTGGCTCTTTTCAAAGACGCCAGAATTTGAAAATGTCCAACAGAGCTTATCTGAACTATTTGAACACTCTGATGTTTTAATACTAAGTGGAAATGTTTTAGTTAATTCCAACTTTATTTTTGACAGATAATATCAGAGATTTATGTTTTGCCACATTTACATGATCATCAGCACTGAGTGTATGTTGACGTTCAGTCTATTCTCAGATTTGAATTAACCATGTAAAGCCTTGAATTGCAAATGTTCTGAAGCTTGCTACTCGTTTGTGGTTTTAGTGATCAGGTTCAAGAAAATGTACCCGAAGCAATCAAACAAATCAGAAACAATAAAAGATGCCTTGTGGAGTTTTGCAACCAGGGTTTCATAGGAAAATGTTGAGCATTCCCATGGCTTGTTTCGGTGAGTAACATTAGTTGTAGGACAGAAAGTTAGATCCTAGATCAGACACATGTGTTCTATTGTTTCCTGAAATTTACACATGTGATATTTGCCTTTTGTGACACATTCAACATTTGTATTCTGATCTGTTTAAACAGGGTGCGATTTAATTGTAATACAAATGTTTGAACATTAACACTCAATCACAGTTTAGTTTCTCTCATATTTCTGACATAAAACATCAGAATTTACTTAAGTAGTTTCCTCTTTACCTGACTCATTGTCTTCTTCATGAGATCAGAGTGGATGCTGATGTCGTGTGTTCACTCACATTTGAATAAAACAACAACAGAATTTGGATACAAAGAGGATAAAATGTTTGTGCAGACAATTCTATACTGAACCAAAAACACCAACCTATCATTAATGACTTTTCTTTTTAATTATAATAACATATTTGAATTGTCTACACTAAACACAGTTATTTCTCTATAGTGTAATTCTTTACCTGGTTTATAAGTTGATGACATGGAAAAAACCTGCACATGATGATCCTCCACAGGTGTTTTCACTTTGTGCATGATGAATTGCTACGAGTAAGTGACTATTGTGCAGCCTGCTCATGGATCGTTGGACTTTAAACTCGTAAATATTTGCTGACAATTTACATTATAAGAGCTCTGAATACAAACACAATCTCCACTCTTAAAACACCGACTTGAAAATAAATTAGCCTACAGTTAAATATCTGAGAAAAGTATCCTCAGTTGTTTTAAGAGATTTGTTTTATACCTCTTTTTCACTGATATGTAGCTCCTTCTTTTACCATACAACGGTACAACTACTGTATTTAATGTATGTGGAATTCTGCAGCCAGATTTTAGAGATTTAGAAGTTTTGGGTCTGCAATTTTGGCTTCAAATCTGTGGACCTGCTCTGCATCGAGGTGGTTTTTATCAATCCTAAGATGTCACCTTGTTGTATGTTTAGTGTGCTATGAATACAGTCATAAGTATAAATGTTATTCTGAAACATATCTTTTAATACAATGATCATACAATCTGAGCGCTTTATCTGGCATTTAAAGGTCCCATGTCATGCTTTTCTGGTTATTACCCATCCCCTTGTGTGTTATGTAGGTTTTTATGCATGTAAACGGTCTGCAGTCACAAACCCTTAAAGTACACCCTGTAGCGAGTACAAAAATACCTGTCAATGCTGCCCCAGAAGGCCTCGTTGGAGATTTCTCTTTTTCCATTGTTTATTTCTTGGGTATAGGGCTATGGTATAGGGACGTAACATAACTGCTCTGCGGATTGGTCCATTTGGCCCAATCTGCGGAGCCGTTACGTTTGGACCAATACGCGGACTTCCTCACACACACACACTCGGCGGGACATTGCAAGGCTCGCTGCTGCGAGGAGCGGGACATTGTGAGCTGGCTCACTGGTGTGGGGTCGGCGAGACATCGAGACACCGCGGAACTCAGCCTGAGCACACACACAAACTCCCAGCCAGGCTGCGGGTGTGTGTGAGTGTTTCGGGCTGGGTTTAGCTGTGTCTCGCTATCTCGCAGACGGCCACTGGGCTCACAGGGCAACCCAGTCTCACGGCATTTCGTGTTCACCAACACGATTTTTAATCTATTGATTCGTGTTCACCAACACGATTTGCCCCTTTTTTTCGTGTTGCACAGCACGATTTTAAAAGCAATGTATTTCTACTGCCTGCAGCACGTCTTTTTCTCCGGTCGGGTCGAGGAAGACCTGAAGCTGTGTGGTTCATAAAAACATGTTCTTACTCAATATCAAGCCACAATTATTGCTTTTATTTGAAATCGTATAATTTCGGACTTTTGTTGCCGTCTGTGAGGAAAATAAATGGGGCTCAGAGCCTCAGAATACGGAAATCTGTATTTTTAAATATTTGTTTCCTTCTAATTCGATATTCTTTTCAAAATAACACACTGTTATTTACTCACCAATAACACACAATTATCCTTGCTTTTATTTATTGGTTTAATTCCATAATCTCAGGCTTTTTTGGCGTCCGTCAGGAGCTGAATTTCAAAATAAAAATAACCGGAAACAGATGTAGGCCTATAAGGGACATTTCGAGCATCATTGCGATTGTCAACATTTCTGAGTTTAGGATGGCCGAAGACACTACACTACCCATAATCACCAGCTATCGTTTAGGACTACAGTCCCCGTAAGGTTATGCAGAGCGTCAAACAGCTGTGCGAAATGGAACGAAACCACGCCAGACTATCCAAAACTGGAATCGAACGCCCCCCCAGAACTACACGCTGGCTATTGTGTTTCGCAAAATGTTCTATGGGACGTCTCTACTGAACGTTTTCGTTTTTACCACAATTAGAAGTTGCCAGTATTAAACACATTGGTGTTATCAAATGTAAAACATATAATTAATAAATGGGTGAAAATCGCTTGTGTCCATAATGCGCAGCATTAATACCCACATGACAGCTCATTGTTACTTTGTAATTCTACTCCACTACAATTCAGAGGTTAACCTGGTATTTTTACTCCACTGCATTTATTTGAGTTACTTTGCAGATTCTGATTAATTATGTGAAATATAAACAACCCTTAAATCACACTTTAGTTACACCTGAGTAAAATTCAGGTAAGGTGATTGTCAAGTGCCAACAATCAGGAGAGATATTTGATAGTTGGTGCTTGAGAAGACTAAACATGTATCTGCAATTGACATGAATGGAAACGAGTAATAAAGTATATGCATTACTCGTTATTCTCTACTAATAGTTAATTAAAGACTGTATATTATGGCTATTTTGCACATCCCTTTCAAGATTTTCAAAGGTTTATTGACATATCATATACACAACTACGGTGTAGTTATGCAATGAATTAAACACTTGGGTTGCAGGTTCCTCAACAGTGCATTAAAAGACATCTATCAATATGTGTGTACCTCCACCATTAAACTGTCATATTCTGCACATTTCTTATTCTATCTACATACATAAGAGTATAATTCATATGTATAATATCAGTTAAAATAAGTGCTTCAACATAGTTAACATTGCAGGAAAGCAATATATTAGACGTTAAGTACTTTGTCAGGCTTAATATTTATCTGTAGATAGATACCGCCAAAGTTTTTTTCTTATTTAAAAGAAGACCTTAATCTGTTATTTAATGTTTAAATAAAGGTTAATTCGTTTTTCTGTTTTGCACCTCCTCCTATTAATATCTTTCTACATTCTGCACTAAACTGTTTTATTGTAGAGATCACTTATAGTATCTTCTTGTTTTTTATATTCTATATTTATACTTATTATACTCTTAATATTTTTTTAATCAAATAAAACACAATAATTCAATAACGTGCTTTAACCACTAGGAGGTGCACACAAGGTACACACAGCCATAATAACTTTGTATTATTAGTGTAGGACACTTTTGTTTTCGTACAACATCTGAAGATGTGTAGTTTTATTCATGCTTTCACATAATTTTACAGCATATTGCTATACTATTTCAGACTCAGTATTTACATTCTTACATTCAAAGAAAATCAGTAATATCTTTAAAAACTACAGTCCTTTTATATCAGCTGTGCACCGTTATGATGTAAATATAACCTTTCTGTGAATTAGATCAAATGTAAAAGTCAGCCGAATTAGTGTTGATACTGCAAGGAGACGTATTGTGTGAAGAGAAATTGAAGATGTTGTTTAATTGTTAAATATATTTATGATCCACGTCAAGTATTCCGTTTCGGCGGCATTTCTTCAGTTTTTCCAAAGGTCTTCTCATCAGGGCTCTATAAATAAAGAACTACGGCAGATCTGTAATATACAATGCAGCCGAGCCGTGTATTACAATGCCGTTATGTGATGACTTTCAAAGAGAAAAGCAAGAACACTCGGAATTAAGTATTATTTTATTCTTTTAAAATGTTTTCCGGATTTCATATCATATAAACACCAAATCCCAGCATGCATTGCGGCTAAAACAGCGACCTTAAAACCATAGCTGAGGATCTTGGGTAATCGCTCGAAATGCCTACGTCTGTTTCCGGTTATTTTTATTTTGAAATTCAGTTCCTGACGGACGCCAAAAAAGCCCGAGATTATGGAATTAAACCAATAAATAAAAGCAAGGATAATTGTGTGTTATTGGTGAGTAAATAACAGTGTGTTATTTTGAAAATAATAACAAATTAGAAGGAAAAAAAGATTTAAAAAATACAGATTTCAGTATCCTGAGGCTCTGAGCCCCATTTATTTTCCTCACAGACGGCAACAAAAGTCCGAAATTATACGATTTAAAATAAAAGCAATAACTGTGGCTTGATATTGAGTAAGAACATGTTTTTATGAACCACACAGCTTCCGGTCTTCCTCGACCCGACCGGAGAAAAAGACGTGCTGCAGGCAGTAGAAATATATTGCTTTTAAAATCGTGCTGTGCAACACGAAAAAAAGGCGCAAATCGTGTTGGTGAACACGAATCAATAGATTAAAAATCGTGTTGGTGAACACGAAATGCCGTGAGACTGGGTTGCACAGGGAGGGGGGGGGCAGGAGCTCCAACAAGCCGTTTAGGACAGAGAGTGAATACACATACAGAGATGCTGTATGAGAAACCAATGTGAGTTTGGAAAATTGCACAATATAAATCTATTCTAGTAGACCTCAACAATGGAATTATGATCAGTAGAAATGGCCATGACATGGGACCTTGAAATGAAATACCTATGAGAGAAGGATTTGAGACGAGTGTCTTCTTTAAAAAAAAATAATTGTGCAGCTGATTTGAAATTCACGTAAATAAGAAAATCTCTGTGAAGAGAAGCTACTTATTGAGTATTGGACAATAAAATCATTCATATTATGCAACAACTTGCAAAGACAAACTAACAGGGTTTCTCAAGTGAGTTGAAATCAAGGTGTAAAAATAGCTCCACCCAGTGGATAACAGTCGCTACTACTCTGAAGATTGATATAAAATACTTGGATATCAATAAAAACACAATACAAAGAGTATTCTTCACTTGTATTTATACTCTATATTCATCAGATATTTATATATATATATTTATATAGATATTTACATATGGCATTGCCAGTTGAAGAAACAGATATTTCAACAAAAATATATGACAACCACATCAAATTCAGTGCTATGCTGAATGCACAAAAACTTTGATTAAAAACACAAAAAAAACAGAAAGTGGGGTAAACAGCAAACACGTTTACATGTAGCCTTTACATGTTACTTGGTTTTTCTGCTCCAGAACATGGGCAAATGTAGTGTTGCTGAAAATGGCGTCATTGACCCCTCCAGAAATCACCAGGCAGTGTACAGGCAGTTGACAAACACAAGTAAAAAATTAAATAAAAACACTATAAATGCTGAAACTTTGAACTGATGCTTTCTGAGGCAAGGGGAGAAGATCCAAGTAATGATAGTTTGCATTAAATACAGCCATGCATTAAGTACAGCCATGCATTAGCAGCGGTCGTCACACATTCTTCAATACATTTTCTGATAGCTTGCCTTCCTTGTGACATGTATCAGTCAAATATTGGACCAAACAAACATGCAGTATGTAAGGTTCACATTGTCTCTCACATTCACCCGCTCATCAGAGAACACACTTTGGAATTGACTAATTGGTTTCTACTCATATCTTTTCACAAAGTACTCTTTGTTCTCTGGAGAATTGAAAAGCGCCTCCAACGAGCTATCTCTTCTATAAATACAGTACATGTTTTATATTTTTCTCTCTTCAGACCCCAGATGGTCGACTTAACAAAAATAGAATAAAAAATAACTTTCAATACATTCTAGAAACAAACAACTGGATTGGTCGAACAGGGAGGGTGAGGGGGAAGCTAGAGGCAGGTCCTGGTGGAGGTGGTGGTGGAGGTGTGTGGATTAGGTGGAGGTGTGACCCCTCAGGAAGATTTCAAGGGTGCACTTTGAAGGACAGCAGTTCCTCCGAGTGCATGTTGTTGAGTGAACGCAGCTCGGGAAGCTTGAGCAGCAGCTTGGTGAAGGTGGTGGCCGACTCTTCGCCGTGGTTCTGCATCACCAAGTTCCTCAGACCCCGGATCAGTTTGTCCTGCAGGGCCTCGACCGAGTTCAGGTCCTGGATCCCTGAACGATCTGTGCCGGGACAAGAGGGGAGAAAAGGTCAATGTCAGACAGAGCAGGGCTTTAATAATGTTTTAAATCACATCAGAGGGACTGATCTAACAAATTGAATGTGTAGTGCAGTGTGGTTGCCCTTAAATACATCAATAGTTGTTTTAATGCTGTGTATATGTCTATATGTTGATTCAATTCAAATAGATCATATTCTCACTGCAAGGTTCATAAAGAGCCTTCTAACAGCAATAGTGCATAACTTGTCCATTCCAATGTGCTCTCATACATGAAAATATTCAAAGTGTGTTCTTACCGGCTGAGACGAGCACCACGGCTGTGAAGAGGTTCATTTCCTCAGAGTCCAGCCTCAGCGCAGCCAGCTTCTCGCTGAACTCGCACATGGAGTTGAGCAGCTCGCCGGCACCCAGCGCCCGCAGCGTGTCAAGGCTGTAACGCTTTCCACTCAGGAAGGTCACCGTCCGCTCGACGGCGTTGAACAGGGAGGCAAATCTGACCATCAGCACCTGGGAGTCAGAAAAGGGAAGGGTTTCTTTAGTTTATGGTTTGGTTTGTGCAGGTAAGCAATTTAATCTGTCTGTATAATAAATCTGATGGTGGTTATATGATGAAAAACGTATTTAATCTCAGTTGCGCAAAAAGAAAAAATTGTGAAGTCTCTTTTATTTCTGTTGAAACTTTCAGAACAGATATTATTCACAGCTGTTTGGGAGAGCCACATTGGCTCCTAGTGTTTAAAGAGCCTGCAGTGTTTCACAAAAATGTTGCTTGTTTGCCCTCTTACCTCAAAAGTTCCAGCTTTCAACAGGCCGACCTGGTCGTGCTCTGGGAGGTCGCAGAAGCCCGAGATCCTCTTGGCAAAGTCGACCACATCCCGCACGGCGGGGGTGAAACTCATGGAGAACTCCTCCCAGATCTCCTGGCTCGGCTTGTGGGGGTCCACGTAGGGTGAAGCGTTCATTGGACAGACCTGGAGAAACATTCAGACAGAAGGTCAATCAGAGAGGCTCATCAAAGCTTTAACTTCAGTGGTAAAAGCAGAATAGAAATATGTTTTAATAGATGAATAGATAGATAACTCACCAAGTATGCTCTATTATTCACGCAGCTGGTTGGTCCATTGTAACCACTTGAGGCCGGTTTTGTGTTAAACCCATGTTGTGTGTTGCTGTCATCTGACGGCTCACACTTCAGGGTGCTGTTGAGCTGCTGAGGCTGGTAAACCTTCTCCTCGCTGTAAGCAGTGTTGCTGACGTGTTGGACTTTACTGTAAGAACCTTGCTGGTACCCCCCCACAACTGCATTGTTGTTCCAGCAGCTCCAGTTCTCCTGCTGCTGCTGCTCCTCCGCCCGGCCGTCACCCCCCACCTCCAGGGCGGCACTGCTCAACGTGGGCGACGCCTGGTCCTGTTGCTGCGCCCTCTGCTGGCCGAATGCAAAGGCCTCTTGGTGCTGCCTGTTCAAAGCAATGAGGGACTCATCCTCTCCGCTGTCTGACGCACAGGAGGAGGCGGAGCTGGAGTTGGTGTCCATTGAAACCACAGACTCTGAGTCCTGGGGGCAGTGCGGGGAGGAGGGGTTTGAGCTCGACAGGGAATCGGAAGCAGAGGAGGAAGAGGGCGAGGAGCCGGCGTCGCTGGTCATGGCCTCCATGGGAGACGCGCTCTGGTGGCCGTGCAGCATGCTGTGCAGCTGGCTGTTGTTGCTCATCATGTTGTTCATGGCATTCTGCATCTCTAGCAGCATCCTTTGCTTTTCCCTCTTTGGGATGCGGCCAAATCGGACAGCTGGGAGTAGCAAAGTGACAGCCATTAGAATGTGTCAAGAGTAAATGAATCACACCAGCTCACTGAAACTTAATATGCTGCTCACCATCTCTGGACATGCCGACAGACAGACACTTCTTGAAGCGGCACTGCTGGCAGCGGTTCCGGTTGATTCTCATTATGGTGCAGTTCTCCATCTTAAGACACTTCTTGTACTGGATGTTTTGCTGGATGCTTCTTCTGAAGAAACCCTAAGGAACCACGAGATGAAAAGCGTTAGTCATGGTGGAAAGAGGATAACATTTTTAGAGGAGAAATGTTGTTCCAGGAACTAGTCTCACCTTGCAGCCCTCGCATGCATGGACGCCGTAGTGGAAGCCGGATGCCACATCACCACACACCTTGCACAACAGCACCATGCCGTTAATTTCTGAAAAGACGAGCAGTGATCAGATATGCCATTTTTTTTCTCATTAGCATAATATTTTGTATGATAACATTTTTATATGCTTACTGGTAATGTTGCTCTTGGTAGATGTGGAGGAGCGCCCAGCCTTCTCAATGCCATGGCTACGTTGGTGGCCATTTTTAGTAGGCGGAGAGATATCCACCACCATGCCCACTGCCCTGCTGGGGAGGGAGGGGCGGGACACGGCCTGGGATGTGGACAAATAGCTTCTGCTGGGGCTGGTGCTCATACAGGACTCTGGACTGGAGGCAGAGCCAGAGGAAATATAGGCTATGACTCCTCCTGTGGAGAGGGAGAGACATGACATGTTATAGCAGGTTAATCACTTCCCCATATCTCAAGGCTGTTAATGGAATGATTTACTATATCCAGTATGGCAGTATCCATGTTCTTATGCATTGTTACCAGTGGTTTGCCATTCAAGCACTTTAGACTATCCTATAGCTAGTGTTCTAATATGAAACCTTTAGCAAACACACAATGCAAAATGGGATATCTTTGGGCTTCTGAGGAACAGAAATACACACACCACTATTAACAACCATATCAGGATATTGAATGTTTTTACAGCTCCGCAACCTATCAAGCTTGCCAAAGTCACTGTGAACCAGAGATGATAGCAGGAGTTATAAAAAAAATTATATATGCCAAATAAACAAACTCTTGGCAGTACAGAAAGTACATGATGTCTGAGACGCCCGGACAGAGATGCAGTCCAAAATCTGTGTGATCTCTGGCTGGATGATATCTTGCTAAGATTGACCCGCTTACTCACCTCCAGTGCTTACTAGTTGAATAACACCATTACATAACATACATTGGTTTCTGTGCTATGGGAGTGTGCTTCAGACAGGGTCAGTAAAGCACTGGAGCAACATAACAGGCAAGAAACGAATGCAGAGGGTAAGTGATGGGGTTATGTAATGTTTGGACAGAAAACAGCTCAGCTGCTTAGTAATAAGAACATGGCATTTAAAGTTTTAGAGGATCAACATCAGGTGGCTGTCAGCTTTGTGTCTGTAAAGCTCTGTTTTAGAAAACTTCAAACATGACTTGGGATTTTTTTTTTTTATAATTGCTAATATCAAAAATAGCTGGCAGTTATATTTATCTTGATAATAGTTGCAGCTTTATTATTTGAAATTACTGTATCTTTTTTTTTTCTCAAACATTGTTTAAATTGTTTTATGCAACTGCCCTTGGTCAAAAATACTTGAAATTAACTGTTCCAGTTAAAGTTTGAGACTTGAAGCAGGGAACAATTCCAAACATTGTAGTTATTTTCCATTTAAAGTTTAAATGCACGTCTTGAGTGGAATATTTGTGTAAAAGACGAGTGTGTTTTTCCTCACCAACTCGAAAACAATTTAAATGTCTGTGTGCCCACCCACACGTGGACCTGTCATGAATTTCTGTGAAAGCGAAGCGCGAGGAGGGGATGAAGCAGATCTAGGTCACTGGCTGCTGTCTACACGTTCTCACGTGTACCTTGCAGTGCAGCCTCTCGCGGGGATGGCTGTGATACAGCGTGGATTATACAATGTTCTGCGTCATGGGCTCCGCTCCAACCAATCAGAGAAGAGTTCTAACTGAGAGCATGCCCGCAAAGAGGAACGCCCCTCGACCAATCAGAGCAGTGTTCCATGAGCGCGTCGACACACGGGCACATGGCTAGGCTACGCTGTCCATGTGAGCGAGGGAAGATAAACACTGTTGTGTCAAATGTAGCAGCGACTCAGCCCCGCAATGGCACTCCTAACCCCGTTTTATAAAACGCGATTTGTGGACACAACAGCCGTTTTATTACAAAACATGAGATATATAAAAAATATGTTTAACAAGTGTGCCAACATTTCCTGACAGGTTATGATGCTGCTGCACTACAGCAAAATAGAAAACAGTTTCAATGGCAGGACGCCATTCATTAGTGCTTTGCCCTCCAATAAATACTTTCTTAATTCCTGGACGGATTATAAAATACTCATTATAATGCATTCGGTAAATTCAACTCATAAGTATATATATATATATATGTATAGTATTTTCATAATTCCATGCCAAAAGCCACTGTAGTGTCAATACCGGCAATAAATACATAAAACAACTTGTTGTAGCCTACTTTAAATCCGTTTTATAATAAATTATACATAACACTTCATTTACGTCAATGTTGACACTATCCCTGCAATAAAGTTTGCATAGTGCATGCAATGAAAAACTCAGTTTTTGCATTTCACTGCGACAATCGTTGTAAAATATTGGTTTCTTACCAGGCTTGGCTGTCCCCATGTCCTCAGGCATTTCGTTTCGAGGAATAGGAAAACAGATATAATGCAAAATATCTGTCAGGACTGTTGCCACTTTCCCCAAAACACCCACGAAGATATTACAATTGTTTGTGCGTGAGCAGTTTAAAGATAAATCTAATTTCAGTAGTCTATTTGTGGAAATACTCTGCAGGTCCGAGTCGGTGAGAGAGAACTAGCGTCTGAGTTGGAGGAGCTCCCCCTTGTTGTGTGTGACTGCGGGTTATTCAGGAGAACTAAATGTTCTCGATAGTGGGCTCGCCCATGTGACCCATTTTGTCGGCCGCGCCCCTAAACCCAGGCGCTCGAGCCACTTTAACCCAGTGACACACTTTCAGGACACCAGGGGGGCGGAGCCAAGCGCCTCGTGGACGTAACGAGGAATGTAACACAGCGCTCACGTTGCAGAGCACAACGTGAAGAAGGGAGAAGCCGGAACAACAGAGCACGGTTATGCAGTTCATGGACAATCTTGTCATGTTTTTTGTATATTGAATTATTTTTGAAGTTACATTCTAAGAAACTACTTTGTCTTTCAAATGCAATTTGTGGTACAGTACATGGAAGCAATTATGTAAACACAATTAAAATACAGACAACATTATCTATTAAATAATAAGATGTATTTTGCAAATTAGGCTTCTAGTAGCTTTAACTAAACTAACATCAGTGATGACAGTAGCTAATGCATTACTAAACTATCATAAGTAATTCATATCCAGACGTTATGTGATTTGATTTTAAATATCTCTTTTTTATGAAGTTTATTTGTTTGTATGTAAGTGTTTGTGTAAAGTTATTTCAATTGCCTTTGTGTCTGAAATGTACCTTCACCTTACATTGACTACTTGGAAAAGTAGGTCCTAGCTTTTCCTATTAAATCCAACATGAATCAGTCAAATGTTTTCCAGACCTTTTTTACATTAACCCCCAAGCAACGCTCTTGCTATGCAGATTCAAATAATGTTGTGTTATGTTACTGTGTTTTACTTCTCAGTTTAGGGTTGGAGTAAAAAATCTCACTGTTAAATGATAAATCCCTTTTATTAGACTATTGAGAGTCTATGACACCTACGCACAGTTACAGGACTTATATTGAAGACACTGATCCGTACAAAAACAATCCTATTATACACCCATTTCTAAGAATTGAAAGTGAAATTGTTTTATTTTTAACTTTGTCAAATCCCCTGGAAGTCCCCAGACTCCCCAAGAAATCAAAGATTCGATGGTTGCATGTCAAAGGACGTAATTGGCAAATTATAGATCAAGTAAAAAGCACTTCATGTGAAACTACAGTTAGAGAGTATTTTAAAGGATAGCCGATGTGGTGTAGTTAAAGGATTTTACTAAACCCTTCTTAGTAAAAGGATACAGACTGTTCGCCTCCACCCACACCTCCCCATGTTGTCTAATCAGAAGCAAGAGGACAAGGGAGTAATGAATACATTAGATCTTAACCAGATTGTTATGAAATGTAAAACACATATTTGCCAACCGAAATCCAAACACACACCTACTGCTGTGATATAACATTGCTAATTGCTACCATCAACAAGTGGCGCTCACGTGCACCCTTGGCATTTGTGGTTTGAAGAGAAATGTCTCCACTCTGATTGGATGGATTACCATAAAAATTGCCACTGGCATTCATGTTCCAACTCAGATGGTGAACATGGAAAACATGCACATGCTGTAGCATTGTTATTGTGATTCTGATAGATACATTTATATGTATTTCAGAGTTTCCATAAAATATCTAATTGTTACAAACTCTTTTAACATACACTATATCTGACATATTCCAAAGGAACAATCATGCAGGATCACTGCGATCTGAATTATACTCTGGAATCCAGTCACTGGAACACTTAATGTTTGACCTAGATGTCTAAAACGTGAACAACAAATCTGTGAACTTGATAACCTAAGCAACCACTATGCACGGCAAGTGTTTCATCTAAACAAGGCTAACCACAGGAATTGTTCTCGAGCTGACATTCTTTAATATTCTTGGCAGCTGTTGTTAGAACACTATGTACTTATCGTCCGTTTACTCCATCATATTACTTCTTTATGGCTACTGTATCACCAGTGACTTTACTCTCACAGGCTAACATGTATACTGAATTACTGACACAAAAGTAAATGATTAACTTTTACACTTGCTGTCCAGAGGAATTTCACGTTTGAGAGTTGTTATTGCACGTGTACAACATCAGCTGTGTTTGGAAAATAGTAAACCATTACCTTTGGACACTTTCTGTGATGGTACATATAAGCAATTGGGTTTGTTTCAACTGTTACATAAGATTATTTAAGGAATAGAGAGCAACACTTTGTACGTTTAAAAAACATGTTTATACATGTACAGAGTTAGGTGTATTATTATCTACCAGATTAACCTGTCAGGCCAGTTTAGGCTTCTGTGGTTCACCAGATCAACAAGCCTGAACACGCCATATGCCGGATGGAACATGTCTTTTGTTTTGGAAAGTTGTACATGTGACTTGATTTGAATGACACTTATAAATGATCTCATGGTTCCTGGCATCTTCTGGTTTGCCAGTGAAACAATCCTTTAAGGCTGCTCTCTTGGCCAGATCTCTCGTGGAAAAACAAGAACATAACCTTTACCCGCAAAGAAAAAAGTGAGTTGAATGAAAAAAATATTCTGAGACTAATCCCTTAGGTTTACTTTTTCTAAAGCAAGGGGGGGAAATAAGAAGATAATCCAATTAGATTTCACAAATACTGCTTTACATACTGTTTCCCATTCATACGGGGGTGAATGGTTTTAGACTTTCACACGAGAGCCTTCTAAACATTGCCTTCCCACACGGTACTTTATCCCCAGCATATCTGAAAATAAAGGTAACTCTTAGGACTTTGTTTGTTTCTCTTAATGCTTATGTTACACTTTATTGCTTTCCAATTGATCAAAAACAACTTGATTATGTTGCTGCTTTCTTTTCAGTGGGGATATGAACCTATTCTCAAGGCTTACAGTAAGCAGCTTGTCATGACTCTGCTGTACTGAGTTAACATAAAAAAACGGTATTATCAATGAGGTGACCATCTTAAATAGTCAACTTATAATTGTTTTATGAGGCACTGATCATTTGTATCACCTCCTGGACTGAATTGATAACATAACATATCGCTTTTCCTGTGTTGACACCTGAGGGCATGACAGCGTGTTCCCCACCTCTCTGAAATGCATACTTATATTAATAACTGGAGTTTTTATGACCTTACAGTCCACACAAAATGGTGACTGGCATGCGTGTTGTAAACAGAGAAAACTATGCATTTTGAATGTAGAGCATTGTGAAAAGTCGCATTTAAAACTTGAAGTGAAGAGTGAGAAAGAAAAAGGCGGTTATTTGCAAACAGATTGACAGATTTCTCTTGACCTTGGCTGCCCTGGACGAGCTTGGAAAGGTAGCTTCACTTTGAGGAAAATGCCAACTACCCTAACACTGAGTGAAAAGGGTGACATACTGTAGAAGAATTATGGTCTTGTGTGCTTTAACGTGGAACAAAGTCTGAAGTAGAGACTTGGTGCTGGTTGTTTCCTAGATACCAGTGTGGTTATGTAGCTAATGTAGTGATCCTGCGATGCAAAAAAGACCCAAACAGTGGCAATTTATCTTCACCAAGAATTAGAAACAAAGTCAAAACTGCAATGATGTTACGGCCGGAAAATGATATCATCCGATTGACCCGTTTTCACAGCAATTGTATTGTGATGACCATTAAGTGATGAATCCTGTGTCTTATTTAATGCTAAATTAAAATGTAATAAACAACATACTAGTATATGGCAGCTCTCATGTGTGGGAGAAACAGTTGAAAGTTTATTGTATACAACAATTCTGTGATTATTTGCTAAACTGTGATATGCATAGGGGAACATGTCTTTAGCCTATCAGCCACGGGTTACAGCTCTTCCTGCCAAAGGCACAGGTGTGTTGGCATTACCAATGGTGCTTTGATATGATTTGAGGCAAACATTCAAAGGTAAAGGAGGCATTCTTTTTATATGGTAGATATTTTGACGGCAAGCCATTGAATCTAACTGTTTATTTGATGCTCGGGAAAGTTCTTGAAACAGTCGAGCAGTCGAGGAATGTGGCAGCTGCAGCCAGAACACAAACTGTACAGATTGTATCACTATTACTTTATCTGTACTTTAACACCCCTATTTAACATTTACAGCATGATATAAACATATCTATATAGTGTGTTACAAACTGTGGTTGTAGGAAGATAAGGAAAGATTTTAACAACATTTATTATGTACTTTATGTAACTTCTGTTACATCTCTTATGAACACATGTTATATTACAACTGTTTTCCTCTCTTGTCATCATGGCAATATTACAAACCAAGCAATTCTGGCAGTCAACAGAAGGTATTATACAGCAGGTTTAGACAAATGATATCTGTCTATCATTAGTGTGCTATAATCCATTAATTAAGTGTTTATGCTACTTATCATTTAATGAGCCAAAATGTACTCACACCACAACATTAATTACAATAGTTAAGTGCAACTTGTTATAATAATGGAAGTGTTTTCAGCATGACTGTAAGTGATTACTGTTCATGTGTCCAGCAGGTTTGCATGTGGAATCCACCCTTTAATGACAATGTAAACAAAAAATAGACGAGACTTCCTTTCCATTGTGTTCCTTTATTACCATATTTGTGGAGATAACTTAATCAGGAAGCAAAAAATATACCAGACAATAAAGTACTACAAATCTGAGATAGAAATAACCCCCTAACACAACAACCCGCAACCCCCCACCCCCCCCCCTCCTCTTCTTCACCCTTCGTCGTCTTCTGTGGGTTTATGTGGCGTATCTCTTCGTCCACTGTTTGGCTGTTCGGTCATGCTCCACTCTGTTAGTCGTGTACTGGGTGGCGATGCTTCCCACCAGGGGGTCGGCTGGACGGGAAAATAGGTTTCACATTAAGTTTCTATGCACTTAGAAATAAAACAACAGACGGAGAAAAATACACTAAAGGGTTTAAAAATAAGTCTCCCATTACCATTTTGTTTTGTTGAACTTTTATTTACTCATTAACAAGAATTAATGTTAGGTGCAAAGCAAAATCAAGTGAAGGCTTTGGGTGGCATGTTAGGAATATTAATACTGGTGTCACTACCTCAACTTACCCGTTTAGAAAACCTCTGACAGGAACTTCTTTAATAACATTTTGGAGTACATCTTTTGCACCAAAGCATG